ATATTGTTTCACCAAATAGCATTTAAAGTTTTCAGTATGCTACAAAATTGATATGCTCAGTATTGTGTATCATTTATTGTGTATTACATGGTCTTTAGCAGTAATTATTATTGTGTATAATAATCATCCATTTAATCTACTTCGAACACACAAGTAAACAGCAAATGAATGATTTGAAAGTATAATCTTCCAACTTCACTCACCAAATTGTCTTTCAAAGAAATTGATGACATGAGTTTTTGCAATGAATCCTAATGATGCTTAGTATTGCACATTCGTAGACTTAATCCTCAGAAAATCTATACCTATCTAATCCTCAGAAAAACTTTAACCTTTAAATCTTTGGACATCAGTATCATTTTTTTTTAAAACAAGTTTGTGTAATCACAATGTTAGGCAAGTACATGAAATCCCCTTGACTGCACCAGAACATATTCTGCTGAACATCTATGCGTAAGAAGTTGTTTAAAATTAGGGAAGAATGTTACATGTAAGGTATGAAATTTACTACTATATGTTCACTGGCCAAAAGTGATCATTTTTGACTGCTTTATATGCTCTAGCAGTTTGCAACATGTATTTTGAGATATTCGTATAGATTAGGGAAGCTGGAAGGGTAGGAGGGTAGATCAACAGACTTTCATATTTTTGACTTGCTTTGTACACTCAATTTCTCTTGCATTTTTACACAAAAATACTTTATGACCTAGTTGACGCTTCACTACTTATTTTCTAGTTGAGAATGAGGTTCTGGCCTTTGATCTAAAATATAAAACATCAAAACTTTGTACGTATGGGAAACTTCGTCACATAAATCTATTGGATAGTGTAACCTGCATTAACATTGGATGTTACTAATTAAATTCATTTTTATAATGCCCCAAGCTAGGCAGCCATTTGTAATGTTTTTGATTCTTCTAATTTAATTTGATCTACAATGCATGTTAAATAATTTCTCTAATAAATCATAGTTTGGCTAGCTTTTCTTTCTCTTTAAAATCTTGCAAGAGTTCGATGTACAACATACGTCACATTACCTGTTGCACGTGAATGTGGATCTGTACAGACATCACTGGAACTTCTGTGGATTTTACTGATTACTGAATTAATGGCAATTCAACGAGATATCAGTCTTTGGTTTTCAAACAACAATTAACATTTATTGTAAATTTCTAATAACATGTTACGAGCTCGTTATTGATTTCTGATTCTAGGGCCTTTAAACATTGTTAAACCGTACGGCATTGATAAAGATCATAAGCTTACAGAATGTCTTCTCGGTTGATTCATTGCCACTGACTTCTCCAAAAGGGGGTGTTCTAGGTCCTCCTGTGGTGTAATTTTTGAGCCTTATGATCGTGTAAACAATAAATGTTCCCGAATGTTGCTTTTTATTTAGTTCTCTGTTTGGAAATCCTTACATCTACTTTATATAATCGTATCGCGAATTTCCCTCACTAGACTTCCGGTGAAACCTCTATTCTCGTCTACTGTTTCCTTTAAATAAACAATTTAAAATTCCCACTTCTGAACTGTCCTCATGAAAACCCATGAACGCGAAGTCCTAAATAATTTTAAATGCAAATTTCCTTCACGACAACAAATGTGACTATCATAAAAAATGCAAACATTTACCCACTTAGAACTCAAATGATAAATGCTACTTAACCTACACTATTATGAGTCCACTGCTCAAACAAACATAAATCTACAATGGCAAAATTAATATGTTATAATATTCATTACCATCTGAACTACTTGGCTGCTTTTGTGAGAATGAGAATTTGCTTCTTTTTGCTTGAGCTAAATTTTCAATGTCCTCCCCTAATCAATTCCATGTGAAGGACACCAGGCCGTTCTGTACGCTTATATGCCTATAGTTTGTTAACAAGCTATGAGTATTCCTTGGATTTAACATTTTCGATGCTCCTCAATTTAGTTGTATCACATCCGTGTGCCATTCTGGTATGTCACAATAGTAATTATTGAATATAAACTCTTGCTCTCCCTACGCTATTATTTCTGGAAGGCACTTAGGTGGTCATGTTTTCTAAATCCAATTCAATCTCTTTGTTTCACTTAAGGCTGGTATGATTTAAATCAGTATTTATTATTTGTAATATTTGAAATAAATTTGTATTTTAATATTTGAACTTGGATAAAAAGACTTAAATCGATTACAAAGTTGATATAAAGAATGTAATAGATTTCTTAGAAACTTTGTCACATAATTTAAAAATTTTGTTAAAATAAAATACAATGTAATATACAATAAAATGAACAAACTTACGAACCAAATAACAATACACAATTTGTAGGAGAGTTATATACAAATAGAGTTGGATAATGATTAGTTTTAATCCAGCATTTGTCTGTAGATAAAAATAATGTAGCAGCAATACCGCCGTAACACACACTGTGCTTGTTTTTCCAGAAAAATGTGATTCAAGCTTCAACGATGTCTGTAATTCTAGATTTGTATTTAAATATTTGCCAAAGCCACTTAAAGTACATTTTAAAGATGATGAGTATTAATAAAAATGGAATTTTATTAACACTCATTTACAGAACTCAATTAATGTGTTTAAAACTAATGAAAGTAGTAGTTATTCTTACTAGTTTTAATATTAACCTTTTTCCCTTGTGTGTATTAATAAAATACTCTTTTAAGTGGGAAGAAACTCGTGGCCACTGAAAGATTCCCCTGAAAAACCCCTAATTTCCCCCATGCCCCATTCATTGTGGGGTTTTCTTTTGCAGAATGGTGTGAATGGTTTAAATGAATTTCTTAAATTATTCCTGACTTGAGCCATGAATTTGTAGTGCCAGTTAATCTTAATTTGAACATTTGCCTTAACATTAGCTTAAATATTTGCCAAACTGAAAACTTTGCTGTGCTGTAGTGTCAAATTTGTGAGATTCATAATTCTTGTATTTCATTCCTTATTCATTTCCACAAGATAATTTTCTCAAAAACCATGTCTTCACTTTGTACTTTCTCATAAACGTTATATATAAATTGAGTATACATAGTACAGAGAAAGTTGTGTGGGAAATGGGGCAACTTGCTTTAGATCCTGACTTAATTGAGGCCCCAACTTATTTATGTGGGATCGAGAAGCTTATAATTTTGAACTGTTTGGTTTATTTACTACTTAAAGGTATACACCAAATGCAGATACGTGTATGAACATCACCTCACAACATGCTCCACAGTCAAATCTGCCTGTCGCCTGTCTACTTCTCCGCTCACGCTCTCCCAGGTCTACCACCTCACTTCCTCTGTCCAGAGAGTATACAAGTTGCACCGCTGCATTAACTCATAAATCGCCCATCCCACATTTATTTATTTATTTTTTGCCCCTCCACTTTAAATGGATTAAAGTACTATTAATTCTTATGGTTCGTACGTTAACAAATGTAGTTCTTGAAATCAAGTAATATTTATCATTTGGAAGGACGACATTGAGGTATAATTTTAAATTTTATTATATCACATCGTTGGCACAGATTCTTGAATGAAGACTAAGTCAGCTCTTCAACCCTACTTTATTTCACATTGCAAAAGATTTGTCAGTGGAGTGAAGGAATGGGGTCTGTAATTCACAGAAAAATATTCAAATTTGATGGGAAAATTTCCCTTTTCCTTTTTAACAAATTTAATTCACAAAGTCTTTGCTAAGACATATGTCTGGTACTGCAGTGAAAATTTATCTGTCATTTGATGGTAAAAAAATGAGAGAAGTGATTTAAAATGCTTGAGAGTCCATTAAAAATATTTTAGAAAACTGGTCCAGATTTTGCCAGAGCTCATAGAACTTGGGGATAAATATGTCCCCTTTGGCCCCATGCCCCTTGTCCCACCTTCCTTTTGCCCCCTTGTCCCATTTTGCCTCCTTGTTCCAGTTGTCCCTTTGTATTCATTGACTAATTTTTCCTTTTCCCAATTTTGTCCCTTTCTTCCCCTTATCCAAATTCCAACACGTCCTCTAATAGTCTTTAAGAACTTAAATTAGAAGACTAATTCTAATTGTTTGTTATTGTGTTGCAGGCTCTGCTTTGTTGTATGCTAAACGTGGACAAGCATATTTGTCCTTGAACAAACCAAATGCCTGCATCCGTGACTGTGAAAGGGCTCTTGAAATAAATCCGGACAGTGCAGCAGCCTACAAGTTCCGAGGCCGTGCTCACCGACTGTTGGGGCACTGGGAAGAGGCGGCTCGTGACTTGCGCCAGGCATGCAGGATTGATTTTGATGAACAGGCTGATGAATGGCTGCGTGAAGTGACACCTAATGTAAGTATTATCACCCATATTCATTATGAACTACTTCATTGACTTTTTCTAGGAACTTGATAATTTTTGTGAAAGATCAGGTGAAAGGCAGGGCTTTTTTGTAGGGTGGACATTTTAATACATTTTTCAGATGTGTTGAATGTAGTTTTGATTTGCTAATGTAATTTAATGCTGTTTAAGATTTTGAAAACATAAATAAGTTATAATATTGTCTTTTTGACAAGTTTCCACAAAACTGAAATTTTCCTGAAAGTAAGAGAACTTCCCTCTTCAATATTTCTCTTGGTATATTGTTTACTAAATGCAATTGGGATATAGGCAGGTAAGACAATTACTTAATTAAATTCCTTTCTGTTAAAGCATAAGGTTTTTGAGAATAATTTCTTATCACTTCAAACAATTGAAAGTTACTGTTGATCTTGAAACTTTCTTTTTTTTAAAAGTGTTTTGTTGTGGTATTTATTAGGGTGTCGCAGATCAGACCTGGATAGGCGTCTCAGGGCATCAATTGATGTCACTGCAGTGCCTCTGTTCTGGAGGTTCTCGGTTCATTTCTCGACACTGGCTCATGATTTTCGATACTAGCTACATAGATAGTTTGAATTTATTTACTGGCTGGAGGAGAATTCTAGTGACCTGCTGCTCTGATAGGTAGTTTTTCTTGATCCCTCTGATCAATAGACTATGTGAATGCTGGAGCAGTACCCTAACAAATGGGCCAAGAACTGCACACAATCTTTCCTTCCTCTTCTTTGTTCTATCCGCATCTTAGTTATAGGAGACAGGTAGGTTCTTGATACCAAAAATGGTGGATAATTCTTGTCCATATATATGTAGTAAATTACTTCTTCTAACACTATCTGTTGTGTATGTCCACGATACTGAATATTACTTTAAGGCAAAACATCTGACTCTTTGTCTGTCTGTTTTTCTATCTGCTCGTTTACAATGCTAGGGGCTAAACTGCACATTGTTTTTTCATTAAAATAGATCTGGCTGATGTTGCTGCCCCTTGAGTTCAAAATGGATATTTTGATTTATGGTTGAAATTTACATGAAGCCTTAACATTTTGAAATTTTATCAAAAATTGCACCAAACATTTTGTTTTAAGTTTTTTTTTCAGATTGAACATAAACCGCTTATAAAAATGGCACTCTCATAAAATGAGTGTTATGTAGTTTTTTTAATGTTGAATTTTCTGCAATTTTTTTGCAAAAGTCATTCAGAATTTATAAGGCTGTAATAAGACAATAGCAACACCACAAGTCAGCAATTCTCAAAATACCTTCATTGTTAAGCAGTGTTTCTGGGTGAATGAAACACAGGTTATGATTGTGAAAATTGTGGAGCATTAAATGAAAGGAGTTGGCACCTAACACACTATAAATGAAAATGAGGCTTACAAGTGTTCACTGAGGTGTGTTAATGTAGAAAGAAATAGCAGAATTACAATTTTATGAAACTATTAATAATGTGAGAAAGTATGTAGTATCACTAGTTTTTTCTTTAATTTCTTTTTGTTACTTTTTGAAATTAGATTTAACGATCATCAATCTGATGAATAAATTCAGAACAATTCATGTTATACCGGAAAGACATAATGAGCAGTGTTTTCACCACAGATTTCAAACTTCCACAAAACAGGTGTTTGTAGAATTCTTCTAGAATATTTTGGAACAAGGCTATTCAGACAATTTCTCTGAGGTGAGGTGTTCACTCCCAATAATTCACAGAACAGGCAGCCTGCAGAAGGAAGTAGATGAGGAGGGCTATATGATAGCATGATGTGTTGAACCTGAGGATTGCAGTGTCACTTTTAATAGAGAAAGACATTGTGTGAAGAGTGTGGGATGTACAAATAATATGTATTTTTGTACCACCATATTTATTCTCCTCTTAATGACAGTCAAATTGATAACAGTATTTGAAAAGGAATTGTTGCTCTTTCTTTGTTTTGAGAAATAACATTCCTCTTCTATCAGGTATATCACTATTTGGTGCACAATTTTTTAGTTCATGTGCACATTGCAGATTCTTTTGTGGAACTTATCTTTAAGTCCAATGGACTTTGTTCAATTACATGGATCACTACAAATCTCATCGTATTAGCCATAAGTCATTAAATATGTTGGTAATGTATCTATTGCAAACTGAAAAGAAAAAAAAACAACTTGTGTTATCAATGCCCTTAGCTTTTAAAACAAGAACAATAGTTTACCTTTCTTTTTCAACAAATTTGGCATATTGGGTAGTGTATTTCACCACATAATGCAGCTGCAAGTTAAATTTTGTAATGTAAAAGAACTTTCTGGCCTTGTAAGAATTTGGCTTACCCTCCACAATTTTCAAAAATTTGTAGTTCTTCCCATACAACATTAAAACTTCTGAGAGTTTGTTTGTTCTGTGTACCACCCATCTGTCTTTTCTCCTGAAACATTACTGTAGCCGATCGCTTTTTGCTTAGGCTCTTGCTTCAACTGATACTATCGTTGATGTTCTCATGTGCACATGTGATAAGGCTCATTGGCCCTCCCTGTTTGAGAAGGATCCTAAATTCCAAAAGTGTAAAAATGATGCCAATTGTTTTGCCTTGTTGGGAGGAATTAAGCAAGTTATTTATTACCTCATAATGACCTTAATCTGCCCTTCCTTTCCAAACACATTTTAGATGTTTAAATTTCCCCAAAAGTCAATTTATTAAAAGTTATAAAATTGGCCTATTCTTATTATTGAAATGATACTTCTTACTTACCCCAATTAGTGGTCTGACAGCAAGTGCAAAGTTCCTATTTATAGGTACCAACTTGTTGCATGCAGTTGTAAATTGAAAATGTAGATTAACAAACCCATATTGCTTAATGCTAATTTCTACAGAAAAGTGCAATGTTCATATTCTGAGAGTTAATTCAAAGAAATGCTACTGCATGTCACTGTAAATTTCTCTGATGAATAATGTTTTGCTCATTATCATGAGATTGTCTTTAAATGAATTATTCTTTAGCAATGGACAGTAATCACTTGAAAGGAAAAGAGTAGTAATAATGATTTGACAATACAATTTAACTTTCCAAAGAAGAGGACTATAATATATGTAATGTAAATGTGTTGTCCGTGTTGTCACCAACAACATATAGTTAAGCGATGGTGGATTCCGAAAGCCTATTGTGATGGAAATTCATATCTAGAAATGATTTACACACAAAAGAGGAGTAAAATATATTTGACATTTTGATACCTGAACAGGCAAATGGATGAACTACAATGGCTCTCACAGTTCTGTCTAGTATCTTCTTGAAGTTTCATTAAATTATCAAGAAGTTATATTACATCAAAAATAATCCTGCAATACAAATTTTAACCAATCTTGGAGCTAATAGGAATTCATGTCCTCTTGCTTTATTTTAGTACTACCTTTTACTTTTCAAGAGCCTGTAGTTTGTGTGTGTGAATGAAAATGAAACCACAAATTGTTACTCTTTTTCCGTATAATTGCACTTTATTTTTATTGCAATTTTCTTTTGTGTAATAATTTATAATAAATTATTCAATATAAGTATGTGGTACTAATAGTGAATTTTCAGTATTAATTTTGTTTAGACTATATTTAAAAGAGAACCAATATATGTAGTTCAGCTTTTGGGGAGTGAGTAAAAATTTGGGACAAAATGGTGGTATGTTAGGAAAATATCACATACTTTTTATTCTGAGTTTCTCAAAATTAAGTTGATAAAAATACATTAGTAGTAGTAAATAATAAAATGACATTTTATTATTTTATTGCCTAAAAGGAATTCATAGTAATCTTCCTAATGGAAACACGTATTTTAAGAAGAAATGAATAACGACTAAATGCTACAACATGTATTGTGTGGTTGATATTACGCAAAACAACAAATACACAATTTCAGCCTGAAACTTTTGGAGTGAAGTTATGGATAGATGTGACGGAAAAAATCGTGCGTTTGTACAACGCTAGTAGGTGAAGGCAGCTTGTGATCACGTCTGGAGGTAGAGCTGCTGGGAGTTCCCGTAGCAGGGGCTGCTGGGTCAAAAAGAAGCTGCTGCGATTAATATATACATAATGATTTTATTTATTAAAACCCAGTCATGTACATTCGAATGTCACGTCCTCTGGCCAGTCGCGCTCGGCGGGGCTGCGAGGGGGCCGAGCGAGGCCTCCGCGTGTGCTCGAGCCGTGGGGCGGGGGGGCGGGCAGTGGGGGGTGGACTGAGATCGAGGACATTGGCAGTGCGCGGCGCGGCTGCCCGCGCCGCCCTCGCCCGCTCCCTCCTCGCCCCTCCGCTCCGCCTCGCCGCCTGCTCGCGCGGCCCGCGCCGCGTAGGCGAAGGGCGCCGAGATGCAGATGCGGGCTTCACTCGTGCTGCAGCAGGGGTGCGTGGCGTAATCCGATCAGTCGGGTCCTCGACGTTTCGTCAGACGCAGAGAGGGAGGATGCCGGAGAAAAGCAAGTTACGTAATGGAACGGCTTTGTGGAGGGTTTGGTAAAGGGAATTTCCGTTTTTATCTTTCTTTACAGAGCGGGACAGCGTGGTTCCCGCAAATCAGTGCTAAGTTGAATACTATCAAAGATTAGGAATTCGAATTTCGGAATGTATTATTCGTCATAAACGGTGTTCGAACGGGAAGTGTGATGTAGTGTGGGTATTGGGAGTGGGTCGCATCCCTGGCCGCCGCGGCGAGGGCTCGAGGGGCCCGCGGAGTCAGCAAGGCAGATCGGGGCGAGGTCACGAAACACCGACGCGAAAATAAGTCTTTTGAAGCATCCCCTTTTTTTAAAATAAGAACAATAATAATAAAACTAAGAATACGCCTTTTCTAAACATTTGAAACTAAGAATTGACTTTAAGTAGTGACGTAATTAATGCGACGGATGGTGCTAAATTAAAGAGGAAACGTAAATAAATGTTAGAGACAAACCGTGTGTCAACACTAGCGAGGGGCCGGAGCGCGCGGCCGGGGCAGCGGTGTGCGGCGCGGCGCTTGGCGCGTGCTCGGGCCCCCGGCGCCCGTGGCCCATGGCCCGGGCGCGCAGGGCGGCCGGCGGCGGCGACGGGGGTGCGTGGCGGGGCTCCGCCCCGGCCGGCGTCACTCGTGCGGCCCCGGCTCGGCCGCCCCTCGCCCTTCGGCCGGGCGTCGGCGTCGCCGCCGAAGCCGCCTCGTCCACGGCCTTCTTGTACTTGCCCACCAGCTCGGGCAGGTCGTAGGCGATGGCGATGTCCAGCCGGTTGATGGGGCAGCCGCGGAAGTAGGTGCAGGTGGAGGAGAGCAGCGGGAAGTCGTAGAGCGGGTTGAGGCGGAAGAAGTCACGGTACACGTCGGGGTCGGGCAAGTCGTAGCGGGAGATGTTGGTGAGCGTGCTGAGGCCCTCGTAGATGTGGTAGTTCTGCGGCCGCTCGATGATGTCGTCGCTCACCGCCTTCTTGTTGCCGAAGAAGCCCTTGTGGTTGTAGTAGGTGGTCAGGTAGCAGTCCACCATCTTGGCGTGGTTGCGAACGCGCACCTGGAACCACACACATCCGTTGATGGGCGGGCCATCGGGCTTCTGACATAAGTTTGTAAATAATATTTAACACTTAACGCCCGTCGGTACGTTTCAAGGAATTTTCCAGCTCATGGATATATCCCTAAACTAATTTTTGTGAAAGTGCATTTTTTTTGGACGTCTGATCATTACACAATTCCGACACAATTTCTACTCTTTGTGATTCATAGTGAATATATTCGAACAAAAGTTTATTTATATTCTGTAATTTTTATCCGTAACTTGATTTCGTAATGCAGTGTTCGAGTCAAGAGATGCAAGAAAAAGTTATTTTCCACAAGTTTGGTTTATTTTAAGTTGGACACTTTCAAAACGGAAAATTTTTGCATTAATGATTTTCGAAAAGAAAGAATGAGGTTCTGGCCCTTCTGACCAGAAAATTTCTTGCCCTTTTGAAATTATTTTTAAAACAATAATTGCCATTAAGCTCAGAGACATCCATTAATGCATTTTCTTTAACGTTCAATAAAACGTTTTTTACAAAGTTCATATTAAAAAAAAAAAGAACTTAAGTTGAGAAATTATATAATATTGCTATAATTATGCCTCGATCGTATTAAGATTAGGGTTCATTTGGCACACTCATTCCGGTTCCTAAAAAAATGTGCTTCTGAATTTAGCATTCGGCGCTGACTGTACTTTTGACTAAGTCTCTTTCCTGACACTCGCTAAAAGTAATCTCTGTATCTATCCGAGGCTCTTAACATGATATCCACTTGGTTACGTATGTGTGTTGAACAAGTTGGATAAGCGACCAATTCGCGTTCAGTTCCAAGTGGAACCATTGAGAGAGTTCTGGATCGATTCCAAGCAGAGCAGAACCTGGTTCAAGTCCAATTGGGCAAGGTTTTATGGTTCTTTAGCACCTCCAGAGTGTGCCTTCTGACCTGATACTTTCAAGCCCGCATGAATTCCGCTTTTCCGAAGGAATATGTCAATAGCGGAATGCGATTCCTCAATTTTTAATGAAAATTTATATTAAGAAAGTATTCAATTTTGATATCTTTTAACGTATTCATAACATCTGAATGCCTACACATTCCGCATCTGAAACGGGGCCTTTGAACAGGAGCAGGTCGAAATGTGGCCTCATTTTTTCCTTGGAGATAAATGTTTGCCATTGCTATGTGCTGTGAATATATTAGCTGTCGTCACGCCGAATAAGTTACTAAAGAAAAAATTAAATGACACGAAAAAGAACAGTTGCAGTATACCAGATGCATGATACTGTAACAAGTTACTTTGATAGAATATCATGGATCTGGTATACTTCAACTTTTTTTTTTTTTTTTTTTTTTTTTTTTTTTTTTTTTTTTTTTTTTTTTTTTTTTTCGTGGCAGAAGGGAAGCAAAAACTACCAAAATTCCACACTTTCACGACGCAAAACGTCGCTTGCCCGGGTTTTGTGCAGCCCTGTCTACTGTGAATGAAGAACAGCGGTCTTACGGGTAAGAGCTCCAATTCAGGGCAGCGAAACCCTAATGCCACTGCTGACGCTCTTGACAAGCCCGCAATGCCGTGCGGCACGGCGTCTTCTCTTCCGAGCACTAGTTCTTCGACATGGGAGACAGCAACCTGATGTGATGCCAAAGTGTGCCGCGCGCCATGCAAGTACAGTTATCATTGTTTGCCAACCCTTTTTTGACACCGTCACTGCAATGTATGGTGGCTCAGTGAATGCGTTTGCAGTACATTCCGGTTAACAGTCATTGAGATCATTATCCACTCTGGTGTCAACAGGTGAATTAGCTCGAAAACTATTCCTGCGACTATCAGCATTTCGTTCCACAAGATGGCTCTGTGCGACTAGGAAGCTAATGATTGGTTGAATAAAATTATTATAGTCAATGAGCCAAGTATCGCCTCCGGGACCGCTCAATGCCGCCTTGCCGAATACGCCGCGCACATACTTTGTTAGTAGGTGCTTGTGATAAGGCTCGATTTGTGCCGAAATGGTGGTATTTTAAAAATTAAATGTAAATGTTACATTAGAAATTTTAAAAAAATATATCGGCCTAAATGTAATCGATTGTTGTTCTAATTGCGATTAATTAGTAGTAACTAACTGACAATGAACAAAATAAATCCACAGATTTAGTACACCGGGATACAATCTTCCCTGAAATGAACTACTGCTTTCCGCCCCCTGCACTGTCATACATAACTGGTAGGACGAAATCTTGGCGAGCAATAACAGCACTACGTGAGTCGTTCGCTGCAGCAAGGTTTGTCCATGTCGCTAGGCCAAAAAGCCAGAGTGGCCAAAACGGACTATTTTTTTACTCTCTCAGTAATTTCCAGTGCGCGGCGGCAGTATTTTTTTCAGCACATAGCGAATATCTTTCAATAAAAAAAATCTAGCCAGATTTCGATCTGCGGCTATTGAAAGGTCCCTTGAGAGTGAAGTATTTGCTAAGAGCTATTGTCAATTACACACTAATTTCAATTACGCATTAATTTTCTATTTTTTATCCCGCTTGTCATATTACCGTTAAGTGAGCGAGAGTAAATGGAGGCTACCGTTTCGATCCAGTGAATACAACTCAAATGATAAACTCGTACCGTCAGTTTAGATAAAAATATTACTTATAATGTAATTTTATTAAATGACAGCGAAACGTTTATTTTAACTATAGTATCTGTTGTAGAAAATGGGTACTGCAGATGGCATAGCAAAATAACGATATGAAAGGAATTGAATGTCCAAATGTGTTAAAAGAAAATGAAATAAATGGCTGATGAACGCCAATTCTCGACTGCCATTACCACCATCTCGGCGAAACCTCGATGGTCCCGAGAGTTGTTTGTCGAACGGTATTTATTAAAACGAGACTTCTTCGGACTTCGCTATGTTTTCGGGAAATTGCGGCCTAGTGCGAATGCCAGCGGGCGCGGGTGGCGTCACTCACAGCGAAGCGGCGCGCGCTGGCCATCTTGTTCTCGACGCGACGGTCGATGGCGGTGCGCAGGTCGCGCAGGAAGGCCCGCTCCTGCGCCTGCAGCAGGCGCGTCGGCGCGCCCGCCTCGTAGGGGCGCGACCACAGCGACACCGAGTACATGACCGGCGGCTCGGGGCTGGCCATGAGCGGGCTGATGTTCCAGATGAGCGTGCCCTGCACGCGCATCAGCTCCTCCGGCCGCACCTGGTCCGCCTTGTTGAGCAGGATGCGTGTCTGCGGACAAAGATGCACTTGAGGCACCGCAGCGCGAGGAAGGCTGCGCGTGCGGCGTCAAAGGAACTTCGTGAAACACGTGATACCACATGTAGGAAAGGAACAGATTGGGATGGCTCAGGGACAACAACCGTTCGCTTTCGACGTCCAGTCGGTGGTGGTCATTCCAGCTGTGTAACTACCTATCGGTCGAATTCAGTACTATCTGGACGAGAACCCGATCGGAGCGGCCGCGTGCTCCGATCGGATGTTTTCGGTGGTTTTTCCGATCCACAGCAGGCGAATGCTGGAGCAGCACCCTAACAATCGGCTAGGACCGCGCGTGAACCTCTTTTCTCCATCTTTATCTCATCTCCCACAACAGTCTCACTCACGTGCACTACATTGCCTTATACATCTCACGTCCCAGTGTGAGAAGGAATATTGCACATTTCCTTGTACATCTCTCATTACACTCACGGATCGAATGTCAAATGAAAAGTTGATCACCTACCTAGAAATTCACCACGTTTAGGAAGAGATACCTCGAACAGCTAAGTAGCACGTACACGTTATATATGTTTAATACATTGAGAACTGGAATATGACGCTAATTCTGTTCTTACACGTTGGCTGCCACACGTCTGGCTTACAACGTTCTACACGTTGGCTGCCACAATAATCTGACGAACTTTCTCACCGAGCTAAATTTAACTCGTCGTGACTGAGAATCAACTGATGATGCTCAGTCATACTGATCTATTCAGTGAGCATCATGCTACGCTTCTCACGGCAGCCACGTTAATATTAAATTCCAGCATCCATACGAATCGCGCCCGAATTACGAATATGGTCAGGGAAGTCATGCCATTTTCGTAGCCTAAATTTTATATTATTACGTAATTTGAAGATACTTTTGGACATTGTCTTTTACTCCTCGATATGTAATTATTTCAGAGATGGCGAGGTCGGGTGAAGCGTCGTGATGAAATTTTGTTTTAACTATGATCAGTTTCGAACTTTGTTAAACGTATTGTGGTTTGTCGATCCGCATGTTATTTTACGTAAACGAAATTCTTTTACAATTATTGAATCGGTGTTATGACGATTATAGAGTGAACTATCATATCATTCTGATTTTTTTTCAATAGGTTTATGCTTAGGAAGTGTATTTTGGGTTTATTCGATTAATTCAAATAATTTTGATAAGACCTTTGTTTTCATTGGGAAATTTCTGTTACTGTCCCAATGCAACTTCTCTCTCCTGCTTTGACTATTTATAGTTATTGAAAGCTGAAAGCTATTAGGGCAACTTTTTAACTATTTTCACTTCCCAACGATAGATCCAGGAAGATGTCTCGCCTATTGAGTATACAAGCCCGCCACACAGAGAGAGCAACGGGTTGCATTAGCGGTAGGATGCAGGCGCAGTTTGCCTGCGTGAAAAAGTTCCATAGCTAGTTTGTCCAATGACTTAGCAATTCGAAGTATGAGGCGCAGGGAGAACAATGAATGCTGAATGTCAGGTAACGAGCTTCCGATAATGCAGCTGCGCCATTTGCAGGCGTTCGTGTAACCTCCCTACACTTGTTTTCCGACACATAGATCGTTTGTTGCACGGAAATGCGTCCTAGACCTTTAAACCAGTTTTTCTACGTCTCTAGAACTGTTTTTTTTTGTTATTCATCTACAAAGTGAGTTTGTTTTGGACCTATTACCGATAATGATATTTTGCTCTTCTGGGTATTCCTATTTCTAGCACGGATAGCAGATATTTGCGAAATCTCAACATTATGTAAAATTAAATTGAACACACTAGTCAATTTAATCTCAGGGTCTAATTCTTTGTTAATAATCACTTAACAATATTACCAGTATGTTTGGCCACGCACGGTACCTGGCCTTTCGTAAATCGCTCTTCATGCTTTTCCATTTCATATAGCTCGCGAAAAAATCATTAAGGGCGTTTCTTGTTGACGCTATTGAGATTATCAGCCCAGGAAGGCAGAACGTGACAGATCAGCATTCACATCACAAGAATCCCAGATACATTCGAGTCACAGGAATTACTCCAACCTTATGCCGTCGACCTTGTCTTAAAGGGACGATGTAATCCGCTACAGGACGCGGGTTCTCTTTATAATAACTTCTGGATCTCATTTCGGACGCACACGTGTTCATTCACTCGTAGTGCTGTGCTGGTGCTCATTTGCGAGGTGACAAAAAATCAATCCTTTCTTTCTTTTTGTGTACGTTTTAGATTCGAAGAGGGTGAGCGATGAAATCACGGCATAACGAGAACCATTCGCGTTAAAAGACCCCCTCTGTCGACATTACGTCCGCGCACAAAGTGCCGCGTCGCGAGTTGGCACTGAGCAATGAAAACCGAAGAGAATTCGTCGCCGTTGGGGCGCCATGCCAGCCGTCTACAGGTTTCCCGAGTCGCGTGATTTCTCGAAGGGGATTGTGATCGGAGGAGGTCATTTTCTTGTTCTTTTAGTGATGTTTTGAATGTGCGGTCTGCCCGGCATTGTTCCCTGCGAGGAACTAAAGACTCCTGAACGAATGAAGCGAAAAGCAGCTTGACAGTTGATGAACCGAGGGGGGATGACTCGTGCACGCTTGTCTCTATCTGGTTGGCAGCATTGTAAAATATGTGTAAAACCCGCCCATAATATCCCTTCTTCTGCCGCATGCCAATTAAAATGTGAAGTGTTAAAAAGCGTGATGTTAATGCAGGCAGCGGTAACGCTGTTACCTAGAATCTAGATCGCCAAACCGTCTTATCGCGAGCTACTGGAAGCTTGAAGGGAATTTTTCCGTAGTTCAGCTCAGGTGGGCTAACCTGGGAGTTGTTCTACTGAAGAGAGAGATGACTCACGAAAGCAGCTGCTTGCACACAAGTTCTTGTTTTTCTTTGTTTCTTTTAGTAGCACACAGCAACATTTAAAAATTGTACGGTTGCTCAGAAGCTTCATAAATTTGGCGACCACTGATCTAGATTACATTCAAATTAGTTTTGAAGTAATATATAAATAACATGATGTGTGTAATTCGTCTGTAATTTTCGATAGTGTGATGGTTGTGGGTAATGTTTGCGGGGAAATATTGATTCAATATATTATTAAATATATTTTCTTAAATATATCCACACTGCTTCCATCCGCTTTATCTGTCCATTGCTTTAGGAAAACATTTTTCATGTCACAATTATCAATCAAATTCAAATAAAATGCGTTTGTTAGTGGGCGTGGCCCTATTTACTATTGGAACTAGTAGCAACGTCAAGTTTATTTTTAATTTTTAAAAATCAATTGACATTTATTCACTTATATGTATATACTGATAGTTATTCACCTGTATTATATATAACTGTTTTTCCGTTTAGTTTCGACTTAGTCATAACTTTGTTTTTCGGAATGTTGCATTCAATTTTAATGACAAGATAAGCATTTGACTAGCTTGTGATAAAGCTTCAAATGTCACCATTGTGGGACAATAAATGAAACCGCGATTGTTTTAGGTTATTGGGACTAAAATTGTTAATGTTTGTGTGTAAAATGTATTTTTTTTTTAAATTTAGCCATTACTGACACGAGTTTAGTTATTAACAAAAAATTAAATATTTAATTTATGTGAATTTCAACAAAAGGTCCGTAATAGTGAAATCAATTTCAGTCTTTCCGTGGCATTACCACCCTCCTACCTTCTCCCCCGCTCCACCCTCTTTGCCAGTCTCCGTCTCCCAGCTGTTCACTACCTACCCGCGTCGTTTGTGAATTGCTTTATTGTACATTTTAACTTTGACTGTAATGCGTCTTCTCCCGGCACTTTTTAATGTTTTACAATTTTATTTGTAAGCACTTTTTAACTTAAGATTCCTTCAATACAAAAGTTGTGACCTAACATGGATTCAATGCTTACATAAATGGTCATTATTTTGGCTTAAAAATGAGTTACTGCATTCCACTTTTAAGAATGTCTGTTTAAAAAAATAATGTAAACAAATGTTCGATTAAAAGAGGAGTTTAAGATTTCTGCCGAGTGAAGATCCATGATCTTCGTATACATAGGCGTGAAAGTTGAACTGCATAGTGCTTGCGCTAATGACACCAACAAATGGCGGACACCAACAAATGCATTTTCGCCGGCGTTTCGCGGCGCCGCCGCCGACCGGCCGTGCGTCTGCGGGGCCTTGAAAGGGCGTGCGTCGCTCAGAATAGCTGGCGGCCGACGGAGACACAGGCGAGAGGAGGGGATAGGGCCTCGATACGCAATAAATTACCACGAGTACCTGCGGCCGCGCTCTATTCATAGCCCATTCCTCGCCGGCAGGTATGTGCGCGCCGTGACTCAGGCGGTAAATCGGTCCCTGCCCGCGCGGCCTTTTCAAAGATTGACGTGGATCATGCGGAGCGGCAGATCCGTCGATGTGTCGTGGCTCGTCACACGTTTTTCTTATTTATTGCCACTGAATTAAATTTCAATATGAGTTGGAGAAATTATAATTGTTATATATCCGTACACATGGTGTAGAGTGCTATAGAAGATGTACATTTTTTTAAAGCCTGTATATGCTGGCCGTATGACTGAGGTGACTTGGTCCGGGTCCGAAGCTCGCCATGTGCATGGATGTTTATCTAGCTCTTTCGTTTGTGTTGTGACGCGAACGATTTCTCGTTCTGTTGACCTCAGAAGCGAAGAGCCAGTGAGGATGTTATTGTACAGCGCATATATTATGAGTTAGGTAACGCCTCGTTGGGGTTACCAGCTAGTGCTTCAAAATCTCCCTTTAAAAACCTCTGCTTGAAAAAAATGTGATGTCCATCCATTGCAACCACATAACTAAATTCTAATTGTAATTTCAAATGAGATCCATATTTTAATTGGCCAGCAATTTGTTAGCTTGTGATTAGTGGAATGCTCATTGAAGATTAGTAACTGGGTACTTAAAGTAAACGTAGTTTGATTTTGCTTCTGTGTGTTTGTGTGTGAGGGAGAACGGTTGTAAAATGATTTGA